AGAGAGGAGCTGCCCAAGGTCTTCCTGAAAGGGGAGAGGCAGTTGGGTGGGTCTCCAAGAGGAATTGAACAGATTTTTTTGAAAGAAGTCTGCCCTAACTTCTCACTGTCTTTTCTTCCCTTGACAGGTCTCTGTGCCCAGGGGAAGAAAATGTCCAACAGCAGCTCCATCACTGAGTTCCGCCTCCTGGTGTTTGCAGACACACAGAAGCTGCAGCTTTTGCACTTCTGGCTCCTCCTGGCCATCTACCTGGCTGCCCTCCTGGGAAATGGCCTCATCATCACCACCATAGCCTGTGACCACCACCTCCACGCCCCCATGTACTTCTTCCTCCTCAACCTCTCCTTCCTTGACCTGGGCTGCATCTCCACCACTGTCCCCAAAGCCATGGCCAATTTCCTCTGGGACACCAAAGACATCTCCTACTTGGGATGTGCTGCACAGCTCTTTTTCTTTGTACTCTTTGTCACAGCAGAGTATTTTCTTCTCACCATCATGTCCTATGACCTCTACGTCGCCATCTGCAAACCCCTGCACTACGGGACCCTGCTGGGCAGCAGAGCTTGTGTCCACATGGCAGCAGCTGCCTGGGCCACTGGGTTTCTCTATGCTGTGCTGCACACGGCCAATACATTTTCACTGCCCCTCTGCCACAGCAATGCCCTGGACCAGTTCTTCTGTGAAATCCCCCAGATCCTCAAGCTCTCCTGCTCACACTGCTACCTCAGGGAAGTCGGGCTTCTTCTGGTTAGTGCCTGTTTAGGATTCACATGTTTTGTGTTCATTGTGGTGTCCTATGTGCAGATCTTCAGGGCCGTGCTGAGGATTCCCTCTGAGCAGGGACGGCACAAAGCCTTTTCCATGTGCCTCCCTCACCTGGCTGTCGTCTCCCTCTTTATCAGCACTTCATTTTTTGCCCATCTGAAGCCCCCTTCCTTCTCCTCCCCATCCCTGGATCTGGTGGTGACTGTTCTGTACTCAGTGGTGCCTTCAGAAGCAAACTCTCTCATCTATGGAATGAGGAACAAAGAGCTCAAAGATGCCATTAGGAAACTAATTTCAAGGATATTTTTCAAGAGTGAGAAAATTAACACCTGTCTCCACAGATGACTCTCACTGTTGGAGTGCAGATCCTTGAAGAGACTGCACGAAGAAAACCCTGTGTAAGTAAAGACTGGAGCTCTAAAGTTAGGCCTCAAGGGCAGAATGCCCTTGAAGTTAAGGATAAGAAAACTACGCTGTATGATAAGGGAGTAGTGTTTGCTTAGAGCAGAGCTTTGCCAAGCGGGTGTCTGTTTGAAATAGGCTGTTAAACATGACAAGCGTATGTATCATCCAATAATGGGTTAGAAAGGGTGTGGTCTCAGGATTATTGGCAAATACTGTCTATATAAGCAATAAGAACTGCGCAATAAACGAGACTTCCTGCAGCTAACTCATAACAAGTCGTCTCAGAACTTCTCCAAATCCCTTCTTCACATTATGGCGCCTGAACAGGGACAGGAAGAACGAGCTGGACTCACTATCGTTTCGCTCAGGACATTTATTACTTGTTTTGAACGAGTGTTATTTTAGCGGAGAAGGGACAGCCACTTCTGGCGGCCTATAGGGGGAAGCCGGGCGGATCTACATACAGGCAGACTATAGAGGAAAGCCGGACGATCTGCAGGATCCACATTCAGGCGGCCCATTGGGGAAAGCTGGGCAGATCTACATTCAGGCGGCCTATAGGGGAAAGCCGGACGATCTGCAGGATCCACTGTCGCGATTGGTGAGAAGCTTCTTAGAGGAGCGTGGATTAAAACTTGGAAAAAGATATTT